AAGAGACATACCCAAAGTCACACAGCATATGGTAGAAAAAGAATTTGACACAGATCTCTTATCTTGTCAGTTCTCAGTTCCTTAACCATGAGATCATCTTTCCTCCCTGGGTATATATTGTTAAGAAAAAGACTCAAACTGGATTTTTTTTTAAGGAAAATACTTAACCTCTTGGATATTGAAGGCCAAATTGAATTTATGAAATAACAGGGCTCAGTGGAATACACCTCACCTGTCTGCACTGGTTATTGATTTTTAGATCAAACTTACTTTGAATCCTCTTCCCTAGTAGAGTACTCAGATATAGATTTTAAAAATCTTTGGGGGGTGTGTATCAGATTTTCTTTTAGCTGAATGTATTGTCTCTGTCTTTAGTACATGCCAGCTACAACAGCTATGCAAGGAGCCTACATACCCCAGTACACACATGTTCAGACGACAGCTGTTCCTGTTGAGGTTGGTACAATTTGTAAAAAGTGGCTATTACAGCCAATATTGTTACTTTTTTTTTTTTGCAAGAAAAAAAAACAGATGAAAAAGTTACATTAGGTATGCACTTTCAGTGCAAATGGAGTCTACTAAAAGTACCTCTATGGCATTATTTTCATCTAATGTACTGTACCAATGTGAACTTGTATTAGTTAGTTCTTCCATTCAAACATCAACCTGGCCCGGCCCTGCTTAGCTTATGAGCTATGACTGCATGTTATAAGGCTTAGGGTGTAATCACACTATTTAAACCACTCCTGTCTATCAACAATGTCCTTAGCAAATCAAGCTGTATTTTGGTCCCTGCATAGGCTTCTGATGTGTGGCCAATATAAAAATGTAGTGACAGAGAACAGCGTGTTCAAATCAAAGTATTATTTATCCATCCCTTGGAAGGAAAAGGGCATCATTGTTCCAATACACCTTTATGTGTCGTATCTGATATGAGCCGAAGCATTTCCTTGCAAGTTTATGTAGGCGCCACTTATCCCAAACAGTTCCCAGGATTGGGCAAGGCAGATTGAACTCCTGTAGCCTCTCATTCCTAGACCAGTGTTTCTCAAATGGTGTTCCTCAGAACCCTGGGGTTCCGCAAAGTGAAAATAAGAGTTCCGTGAGAATATTCCATTACAATAACATTTTATGGTTTAAATGTTTTTTGTACACATTAAATGTGATTTTTGTTTTTGATCTTACGACCTTGTTTAGCATTTGTTTGTTTATTATCCTTACTTATTTGTAGTCTACTTTTTCAGCTCCACATATAAGACTTATTAGTGGTTCCACAAAATTCTTTCAAGTTTAAAAGGGTTCCGTGGCCAAATACAATTGGGAAACACTGCCCTAGCCTGTTTCTTTTGTCTCCCTCTGCCCATACCCCATAGTTTCCAGGACATCATTTGTCCATTTCAGACTCTGTTTGTCCTGAGACCCTTGACCCTGGCCACTGTGGTTTATGCATCCCAACAGATATGTCAGAGGCAAATTTCCAGAAGTGCATTCATGGTATTGTTCTTTTGGGTATCAGCCATTGAATTATGCAGTGGTGTTGTAGCTCTGTAGGTCTCGTATGAGAGCGGGGGTGGGCAAAATAGCCAGATCTGGCTTGCCAAGCCAGTGGATCCAGCCCGTGGCCTCCCTGCTGTTCCTCCACCCTCAAGCCAATCGAGACCTGGGGACAGGGGAGTGCACAAAGTCTCCTTCCTTTCCAGGTGCACACGGCACCAAAAGGAACTTCTGGCTGACCCCTAGGAAGGCAGGGTCAAGGGACCCTGCATGATCCCTTTACCCCAAGGCTAATCAGGGCCTGGAGGCAGGGAAAACGCACAAAGTCTTCTCCCGTTGAGGTGCCTCCAGATGCCAGAGGTGGGGGGGGAGGGCAAAGACTTTGCATGTTCCCCAATCCCCAAACAAATCAGAGTTTGTGGGTGGGGGAGCACAAGAATTATCTTGCCCCCGCCCCTTCTGCCTGAGGCCCTACTTCTTCTGGGGCAAATGCGAAAATGTATGAAGTAGCCCCCTTTTTAAAATTATTGTTCTTCCTTGTATTAGAGAAACAAGATGGGTGAGGTAATATCTCTTATTGGACCAACTTCTGTTGGTGAGAGAGACAAACTTTTGCTGACCTGAAGAAGAGCCCTACGTAACCTCGGAAACACCCTTCTCTCACCAACAGAAATTAATCCAATAAAAGCTACTCCCTCACTTACTTTTGCCTCTAGTAATAGAATTAGTCTTTGTCCGATTACTGGGCTATGTGTTGAGAGCGCAAGCTGAATTAACCCTTAGGGTATGTCTTTAAACTACACTCTTCTTTTGAAAGAGGGATGTAAATTAGATCGAAATTGCAATGAAGCCAGGATTTGAATTTCCCACACTTCATTTATATAATGGTGGCCGCCTGGTCTTTCGAAAAAGGGCTTTTTGAATTAATCCTTAGGGTATGTCTTTAAACTACACTCCTCTTTCAAAAGAAGGGTGTAGTTTAGACATACCCCCTTAGTGTTTCATGGAGCAAGCCGCACTACAATACTCAAGTAGATACACATATAGGCTACGTCTACACTGGCATGATTTTCCGGAAATGCTTTTAACGGAAAAGTTTTCCATTAAAAGCATTTTCGGAAAACCGCGTCTAGATTGGCAGGACACTTTTCCGCAAAAGCACTTTTTGTGGAAAAGCGTCCGTGGCCAATCTAGACGCGCTTTTCCGCAAAACAGCCCCGATCGCCATTTTCACGATCGGGGCTTTTTTGCGGAAAAGAAATCTCTGCTGTCTACACTGGCCCTTTTGCACAAAAGTCTTTCGGAAAAAGACTTTTGCCCGAACGGGAGCAGCATAGTTTTTCCGCAAAAGCACTGACAATCTTACATGAGATCGTCAGTGCTTTTGCGGAAATTCAAGCGGCCAGTGCAGACAGCTGGCAAGTTTTTCCGCAAAAGCAGATGATTTTGCGGAAAAATTTGCCAGTCTAGACACAGCCAAAATGTATAGGAATACAGAAGTCTCCTGATAGGAATACAGAAGTCGCCTGTGGTCTTAACAACACAAAGAAGATGAGTGGCAGTGGTCTACAGAAAACATTAGAATTTAGTTGCTCACTATTGCATACGTTTGTGTGGTTCTACTCTGTTAATCACATCACACTGTCTATTTATTAGGGCTGTCAAGCGATTAAAAAAATTAATTGTGATTAATCATGCGATTAAAAAATTTAATCGTGATTAATCGCATGCAGAGCCCCTTTGAATCATTGCTGACCCAAGGCTCAGTGCAGCTGTCCCTTTGAAACTCAGCGGCAGCGTTTCAAAAGGGCAGCACTGCAGGATCCTGGAATCAGCTGGAGTCCCCAGCTGACCCTGTCTCCGTACAGCACTGCCCTTTGAAGTACTGCGGTAGTGCATTAGGCAGTACATAGGCGTTGCAAAGCCCCTTGAAGCATTGGAGTGGCACTTCAAAGGCGCTTTGCAACAGCGGAGTGCTTTCCAATGCGGAACTGGGGATCAGCTGGGCACTCCAACTGATCCCCAGCTCCACTTGTGCTTTCCTTTGGGAGCGGCACTTCAAAGGGGCAACGCAGCATTAACGCTTGCGATTAATGCATTAAAAGGATTAACCTGTTAATTGAAGGCGTTAATGCAGGTCAATTGACAGCCCTACTATTTATTGCTATAACAATTTAGAAAATAGAATATGCGCTTGATCATTTTATATTTCATTACATTTTCTATTAGAAATAAAAATAAAGGTCAAGTTGATTAATGATTTTTGCATGCATCAGGTGTATGTGCCCAGCTTCAGAAACATTAGAAAGGAGCCTTAATTTTTTTTACCAGGATTTTTTTGTAACACTTTCTGAAAGCCAGGCTCAGTCAAGTCTCTCAAGTCGGATCACAGAAAACAGAGGTATCCAAAATGTCTAGTCATATTGGGAAATCTAGGCACCTAGCTAGTCTTGCTGGATATCAAGTCTCAACCCCTTTTTTTCTTCTTTTACAGGAAGCTAGTGGTCAACAGCAGGTTACAGTAGAGACGTCCAGTGACCATTCTCCATATACATATCAGCAAAACAAATAACTGAGGTGGGGGCTTGTCCTGTTACTCTGAAAAGACATTCATTTCAATCTAAATACTTGATATACTGTAGTTTGCAGAATACATACAATCTGAATAAAACTGTTAATATTTTAGACCAGAACTTATCATCAATCTGAATTTTTCCAGAGTAAGAAAGTTAGAAAAAATAGAGTAACAGGTTCTGGATTAGGCCCTTAATGAATTATCTGTCATAATTTATTAGTCATTTCTCTGGATCATAACAACACCCCTTTGCCATAACGTGTTGACAATGAGACATCAGTGCTTCCATGCATGGCAGCAGAGAACAGTTTGAATCCCTGCACTAACTTGGAAGTGGCTTTCTCACTAGGGATCTGAAAGGTTTACCAGTTCCAGTTAAATGGTGGAGGCTGAAGCAGCTCAGCTCCCTGCCTGCTATGGGCCAGGGGCTTCTCCAGCTCAGCGGGGAGTCAGCAGTGGGCCCAGGGACAACTGGAGCAGCCCCTGCCTGCAGAGGGGAGAGGATAGGAGGCTGCTCCAGCTGAGCCAGGCTAGAGTGGCCCTCTTTAATTGGTTAACCCGTTAAACATAATGTTTAACCGGTTAACCAATTAAACAGGATTTTATCCCTTTTCCCCCACAGAGGAATAATGCCACCACTAGTGGGATAATGCAGAGATATCTGGAAATCCATGTTGAGTTTCACTTGTAAAGACTCCTTTCTCGTGTGTTTAGTATTGTAGGAATGCCTGCAGTATGAGTTAGCTATCTTCCTCCTTTTCATAGAGTCTGTTCCATTTGCTTTCCTCAGTAAGTCACTCATTTGTTTGCTGTGTAAGGCATTCCGTGCAACACTGCTTTTTATAGCTTACCACCCTTAAAGTGTTGTTTGCATCACCATTTCCCCTGCGTTCCTTCCCTCCTTCCAAGACCAAAGCTTTTGTAGTTAATTCTCTGCTTTGTCCCTCCCCCAACGATGATGAACCCTGCATGTCTGTTGCATACATTTTTATAAAGTTCTTCATGACTTCCCAGAGAAAGAACTTTATAGTGAATCTCTTGCTGCATTGTTTCTGTACTGCCAGAAGTTTCATATGTTTATTTCTATAGCTTTCATGACACACAAAGCACCAGCAGTTTCACAAGTGTACATTTTCTACATATATGACCCTCTCCATCTGAAACAAATCCTATTTTCCTAGTGCATATTCACATATGTACAGATGCATATCTCAATTGCCTTGGGTTTTGCAGGTCACATTCTGTGGTACCTAGTAACACTGCTCTCCTCACAATTATTCAGATAAGAATTTTTGTTATATCCCCAAGAAATCTAAAAATTGTCATATAAACAAATTCAGTAACAGAGCACATTTTATTTGATGTCACATCCCATATAATGAACATGCCTGCCTGTTTGTTATTTTACATTGGCCAAACACTGGCTCCTACAGAAATCCCATGTAAACAAGCCTTGCATATCTCCATGTGTCCATAAGCCCCAGTTGAGGGGTCTGAATCCTACATTTCTTGATTTCCCAGATGCATCCTGTGGATTGTTACTGCGGCATGGCCCTTGCGTGCTCCCAAATCAGCATGCAGAGGTTATGCTGCAGTGGGTCAGCATAGTTCAAATTAGGGATGTTGGATATCGTGTAATTGAATGGTCATGTAACCACATGAAATCTTAGCTATTACACGACCGTTCGATAGTCCCCAGGGGTAGGGTTGGCAGCCACTGCACTCCAGCCCCACTCCTGGGGAGCCCCCTGCCAGGGGAGCCAGTTTAAAAATCAGCTCCCCTCTCCCCCACACTGCTGTATCTGTATCAGAGGCAGCAGTGCAGGGTAGCAGTAGCCCCTGTCCTCAGGGAGCTCGGACCCCCATGTGGACAGGGGCTGCTGCCACAGACCAGCCTCTGTCTGCAGTGTGCCCACTTCCCTTCCAACCCCCCACCCCCATGCTCTGCTGCGGGCAGCACCATGGAACTGATGTTGGGAGGAAGCCAGCTTTTAAGCACCAACTCTTGCCTACCCCCTTCACCCTCCATGCTGCTTCCTCTCTATCAGAAGCAGCAGAGCAGGGTTGGGGGGCAAGTGGATCCAGTGCTGATACAGAGGCTATGGTGAGGGGAGTGTGTGTAATCAACAAAATTAACTGATAAGCCTTGGTTACCTGTGTAATCAACTACATGTTAACATCCCTAGTTCAGATGCATGGCCTTGTCTTTACCCTTCTGTGCAGCCCTGTGGAGATTGCTGCTTCTTCCAAAAAAAGAGTAGGGAGGCAAAACCCTACTCTTCATAGCCAACCCTTAGCAACAGATCAGTATTATCTCCACTTGTTTGGGGCTTTTCATGTTCACAAAGCAGAGGAGACAACCTTGAAGAGATGGTAAAACTGCTACCCAGTTTCACTGTGATATCTTATGGTAAACACCATTGGAAACACTGTCTTAACGGTAAACATTACACTAATATAACAACTTAGGAAGCATTTTCATTAGTATTTACATGCACCATGAGTCAGCAGAATGAATGAATGAATAAATAAATACATAAATAAATAAATAAATGGCAGAGCAGAGAGACGTATTGATATTACTAAACTGAATCTGCAAAATAATGCTCCTCCCCATAAATGCACCATGTTGCTTTTCTCTGGACTTTTTCCAAATTGTCCACATCTTTCCTGAAATATGGCTCCCAGAAGTGGATACACTATTCGAGTAGAGGGCCTAATCAGAGCAGAGCAGAAGAATTACTTCTCATGTCTTGCTTAAAACACTCCTGCCAACACATCCCAGAATGATGGTTGATTTTTTTAATGTGGTTACTGTTGGTAAATACTGACTGTTTAAGGCATGGCCACTCTTTTCTAATAGTTATAATGCATTTTTTTAGAATGTTATGATAAATATTAGTGCCAAGGCCCTTTTAAATAAGTAGTAAGTGACAGCTAGCATGTTACACTAATTGGTGCGATTGATTGGAGATGTGTTGTTCTTCTCTCTCAACAGCCTCTTTTGATTCTAAGTGTTATAGCACCTGCCCTAAAAGTTTTAAAAAGTATTTTGATACTTTTAAGACAAGCCCTTTTAACATGATGATTGTGAACTCTGAACGTGCGGGATCTCTAGAATAATGAACTTAATCTTGCCTTAGGGTACATGACTGTGAGCTGAAGATCTTGAAAAACTGGCTTTAATATTTTTGCACTGGCTCAGTACCCATAGCAGTGTGACTTCTTTATATATGTGGCTGCTCCAGTGCCCATTGAAATGTAGTGAAAAAGTTTCCAGCAGCTACCATGAGTGTTGGATCAGGCCTCAGTAGGATTGAGCTCACTCCGTATATTTCTTGAATCAGTTAGTTGATTTAAAAAAAAAAAAAAAGCATGGAAAATCAGTAATTTGAGTTCAGGGTTGCAATGCCTAAGCACTCTACAAGCAGAACTCCCAATGGGGAATCAATAGGCTTCTGGTGGGGGGGGATGTCGGACAAGGCTATAATTAGGCAACGGGGATATCCAGGCAGGTGCTGAGCAACCTCAACCTCCAGGGCGCTTGGCACCTCCCTAAATAGTTCTCAAGTATGCCTATGGGCTCACTCATCTCAAAAATACATCTGAGGTAAGGAACCATTTAGTTCATAGGTGTCTACAACAGAACATTAAATCCAAAAGTAACTTTGCTCTAGCTCTGACTTTTCTCTGTTACAGATGTCCAGTGTTGACCTTGCCTGGAGAAGGGTGCAAAGGCTGAAACAATCATGGATTTTACTGATCAATTGTGCTTTAGGAATTATTGACAGTTTTGCACAGGTTCTTGAAAACGTTATTTATAATGAAATCAACTAAAACTATTTTTGCTATAAGTTCTATAAGGTGCATAAAAAAACCCTTAAATTCATCTAGTAGCTGTTCCTATGAACAGGTTTATTTTAGTAAGAAAATTTTTATCAAGTGTTATGATGCAATTTTTTTTTTTCAAATTTCTGGGTATGCACAGATGACCACGAAGACTTATTCATGTGCATGGCAGAATTTGTGGGGGTTTTTTGTTTTTATTTTTATTTTTATTTTTATTTTTTTTATTGTATGAAATGGGTTTTCAGAAGTTTAAAGTAGTAAAACATCTTAGGTGATGATCTGTGCTTGCCGTGTGTGTGTTGCTACAGTGCAGTGTTGCAGTTCGTGTCTGTTCTCTTAGCTTTCCGTTTCTCCTTTAACGTAGCGTAAAGTGTCTTATCCTTTTCTATAAATTCCAATTTGCCTTAAATCTTTCATGCTGTAGCTGTCTCAGTAAGTAGTCCAAACTAATGGTGTAGAATGCTTTGACCAAATGAGCTGGTCTATTATGCCTTGTAAAACAGCAGCATAGGGCTTTTAAAAGGTAGTCAATAAAAATTGCTGAAAATTTGGCTTTTTTTAATGTGTAGTAGGTGTTTTTAATTAATTTTTTTTCACATAATATGTAAGGTAGTGAAATGCAGGAGGGGAAAAATGTTTTGCGTGAAACACATTTTCTGACTGGGGGAATTTTAATAGGATAAATTGTTTGTAAGGCCATATGCCAATAGTTTCCTCTGATAGTTTGAATGATTTAGGAACTCTGCTGTATGATGAAATGTAAAATCTTTTTTTTTTTTTTTTGCCTTTTTTTTCCAGAAACTAACTTGATGTTCTCTAGTTTTAGTGTAGGTAGAATGGGGAATTTGGGGTGGGAATATCACAGAATGTTTTTGTCCTTCCTTTATACTAATGATAGTGCTTTAGAATGATGATTGTGCTGAGACCTAGCAAACAGAAAATTTGCTATGACAGCAAAATGGCAAAAGCTAAGGACTTGTTTTCAAACATAAGCTGAGATGTAAGTAGACACATAATTGATTGGGTACTAGCTCTCTATAGTAGGTAAATAAAAATAAAAAGACTTGGCACTTTTAAAAGGTAACTTTACCAAAGAACAAAGAGCCAGTAACCAATAATTCTGTTTTGTCTCAGCATTTACGTCTTCTGTACTCTTTATTTTTGCCGGACCAGTTTGCGGTTAGGAGAATGTGCCTTTTTTTGTACATTTGCATTTAGGTTTTATAATTTTAATTGATGTATGGACACAAAAAGCATGAAGGAAGACTTGGATCCAAGCAGTGCCACGCTTTACATCATCACTACAAGTGTTAAGTGTAAAGAAAACCAATTTTGAAACTATGAAATTCCTGATTCATAAATACACAGTTATTTGTATTTTACGTATAATTCACTGCTATTAAAGCTCTTTTACTATGATGGCATGTGTTTTAAATCAAATGATAAATTAAGTTGTCTTCCAAAACTGTGTACTCGTCTGGTCAGCTGTAAATGATCAGTTATCTACCTCAAAGTTTATTTCTTTTTGTATTGGGACAGGTTGCTGGCCCTCCCTGTTTCCACAGACCAAATCATCCTAGCTCAGGAGCTAGGGCTAAGCAGTTACTTCATTCAAGTATTTTTTAGTTTTTAAATTGTGAGTATTGGAGTATAGATGTCGGTGACATTTCATAGTTTCAAAAGTAAATTGCTGCTCTGAGAAGTGTAGATTCTAGTGAATTACATAGTCATAAGAGATGTTTGTTTCTTTTTCTTTTTAAAAAAAAGTTGTGGTATTATTGGTTCTATGCTCCCTGGAATATTACTGCTTTGTAAAAGTCCAGACTTCCTGCAGCACCTTCCCTGTATCTGGTATTTGCCATTCTTGGATCTCTCACTACTTGATATTTTTTGCATTCATTAAAATTGCAGTATGATAGGTATGTTAGAGGGAGGGAAGAGCTGCTGCCAGAAACGTCTGAACTAAGTGCCATACTCATTGTCTGGGTAAGATTTGGGAAATTTAACCTCTGTACATAAAGAAATAATCAGTTACTTAAACATCACATAGTAGACAGCCATTAAATTATAAAAAAAATTAATTTATGAAGAAAGACCTTTTGTACAGATTGAAAAAAAAAGATTTTCATAGAGATATCTATATGATCAAGAGAGTTAATTTTTTATTTTTGTTTTTCTAGTGCCACAAACTTGCCAGTGGTAACTTATTTGTCCGGTTCAAGATAACTCTGTAGTTTTGTTTCCTAGGACTTGTTGTTAAAACGCCAAAAGACATTTTTGAACTGTACATTTGATTAGATTGTTAGCTTTTTTTCTGTTTTATTTCTTTTGAAAACTTTTGAATAAAAAAGATTGAAAAAATGTAAATGCCTTGTTTCTCTTCAGTTTTAACTATATCGGGGGGGGGGATGATAGGGATGTCAGTGTGTAGACAACTACATGATTAACTGATAAGCCTGAGCTTATAGGTTAATCCTGTCATCTTCACACATTCCCCCCCCCCCTTGCTGCCTCGGTATCAGAGGCAGAAGAAAGGGGGTAGGCGGGAGCTGGCACCCCCCTAGCTGCAGCCTCTGAGAGGCAGCAGCGCAAAAGGTGAGGGGAGCAGGAGGGAGCCAACATGCATGGGGGCCAGCTTTTACGCCACCTCTTCATATGTGCCCACTCAGCAGACCCGACCCACCCTCTCCTCCTCCTCCCCCCTCTGCCTCTGATCAGAGACAGCAGCATGAGGGGGAGAGTCCAGAGGAGGCTGTCATGAAGCAGCCTCTGTCCATGGTGGGCACAGGTGCCCCACAGGCAGCGACTGCTCTAGTGTCCCCCCTTCCCCAGTCGGTTAACCAATTAAACAATATGTATGACTGGTTAAAGAGGATTTTACACCCTTAGATACTATTCACACAGATGGGTCAAGTAACATGATACTATCTCGTTTGCATTTTCTCTCTCATTACTTTGTGAAGAGAACTTAATAAAAATGTCTTGGTATTTTTAATCTATTAGTTAAGAAATGTTTAGGCCAGACATCTACTAGGTGGCAAACATAACACAGTAACTCTGTAAACGTCTCTTTCCCCAAAAATGATTATATTGCTGAGATCCAATCTTCCTATTTCCTGCAGTAAACCCTTCTGGACATATATAGCATGCCCTGTCTTATATGGGCTGTCAGACTCTTCAGTCACTTTTTTCCACACAAAATGGGTCCTGTAGTGCAAATGATCCTTTCATTAATTAAATGAGCAGTGTTTGGACTGTGAGCGGTTTCCTCCTTTGGTTAGTTCACTCATGGGTTTTCCTGCTGTCATGAGTATGTAAGATACTTCATCTCTGCTGAAGCTCTCTTACCTTAGGGAGTAGTTTTGAGGGTCTTCTCTGGATGAGACTAAACTGCTGATTGTGCAGCTTGATATAATTGATGTCTGAAACATCTAATGACCTTTATTTTTTTATATCCAGCCAAAACAGAGTGGAATATGAAAAGAGGGTTCGAGCACAAGCCAAGAAGTTTGCGCCATCATAAGCACCTGTCATACAGCATCTTAAAAAGGAAGGGATTGGTTTGGCAAGAACTTGTTTACAAAATTTTTGCAAAATCTAATGTTGCTATGTACAATTAATATTCACTTAGGGGAGGGGGTTGTATGTGTGCCATTTTCCATATTCGCCACTTGTATACAGTTCTAAATTCGCTGAATAGCCCCCAGTTTTTTCATACAGGGTCTCTTCCTTCAGTCTTTTGTATTTTTGATTGTTATGTAAAACTTGCTTTTATTTTAATATTGATGTCAGTATTTCAACTGCTGTAAAATTATAAACTTTTATACTTCTATAAATTCACTAGTATCTCTAGTTACTTTGCTATCTGATGCAGGCATGCTTTAAAATGTTTAGAACTATATTTAGACTCTAGCTGGCTGTATGAAAAAATCATACCCTCCACCCCCTTCCCTCCCCTTAATTTGTTTTTCTATCTTTCAGAAACTAGGTTATTATTGCTTAAGAGCCTCAGAGATCCAAAGTCAGCCAGCATCTTGATTCTGCATCACTTCCTTTTGTGTTTATATGGCGTTTTGTCTGTGTTGCTGTTTAGAGTACTGAGATGTAGTAGTTACCGTGTGAAGCAGACTCACTCGCTACACTGTAGCCATTTTTGTTACATTCCCTCTCTTTAGAAACAGCCCTGTTTTATTTGATATAAAAACTATAGGGTTGTTTCAAAAAGAGGGAAAGTAACAAAAATGACTTAAAGAGAGTGTGTGCCCCTCTTCCTAAACAGCCTAGTCTGTAACTACACCACAGAAACCTGCCTTGTCAGGTACTTTTTGAAAAGCAATTCTTAATACTTGGCATTGTTCCACACCTTGATATAGGGGTATTTAGGGTTCCGACCGTATCGTTTTTCTTCTTTGGAGCTGATCAAAGGAGCTTTGAGATCCAGGAGAGGTATTTTGGAGGGGGGAAGTATTTTGTGATTATATATTTATATAATAATATCCTTTAGTACTAATTCCTCTTGCATGAATGAAAAGATTGGACTATGCTGCATTCTAATTAAGGATAAATAAAATTTAAAGAGACACATAAGACAATATATAGTTTTTACTGCTTTGTCAAATTGTTCATCTAAATGGTGACTCAACAATTTACCTATCCAAAATTAAATAGGCATGAAGATTTACACAAATCTTTGAGGGACCTTATTCCATTTCTCTGTAATCCTTAAATTAATTGGAATGAATGAGTAGTATTCATGTATTCAAATATGAATGTTACATGCTATTACCAATGTATATGTGATCTTATTAGCTTTTCTAATCATGATGATGCACGGTAGCTCTTTGTTCTATAATCAAATATATTTTAAAAGAATCATTACTCTTGAGATCAGTGGTTTCTGCCTGGCTGATGAATATGTCACAATACATCACCTAGTCTTCAATAATACAAACCATTGTATCACTGGAGCTGGCGGCCTGTGCCGCTTCTTAGCAAAAGAAGTGTATACGCTTTCTGTAGGAGAATAAAGTATTAATTCCTCTGCCACTTTGGCTGTGCCTACAACTGCTACACACTTCTACAAAGATTCCACAGCCCCATTGCCCCCAACCCTTAAGTGCGCCATGACCTGGCCTGGTTGGCCAGCACATGGATCGCACTTCATTGAGCCACATGCCAGCAACTGAGCCCTCACCTGTTAGCTACAGCGGAAGTTCATCTGGGCACCAGGGACCATCCAGGTCTGAGAAGCAAGAAGTACCAGTTACCTACAGGTTTCAGGATGGTCAGCAAGGAGAATAAGGTAAGAGAAGTGTATGGGGGAAGAGGCAGCGATTCCAGGAGGTCAAGGCCTCCAGATGGAGAAGGAAAAACAGTACACTTTACCAGAGGTGGGCCTGGCCCAGGCTGCAAATTTTGGTAAGTGTGTGGGAAGGGGCCCAGTGTTACAAGCAGGCTCTGTAGTAAGGTGGGACTGGTACAGGCGGCTTGGGCTCAAGGAGAATTGGGCTGTTGTGGGATAGAGCATGCTCCTTCCCCCTACTCTTCCAGTCCTTCTGACACCTGTGCGCGGTATGCAATATACAGGCAGTCCCCGACTTACGAACAGGGCTTTCTCATCCCGGAGCTCACAGGCAGCGATCCACCACCTCGACCTCCGGGGCGAGAAAAGCTGCTCCCGGTGCCCCTGGTCTGCTGGA